GAGTCTGCAAGACACCAGGATCCGGCTCCCGGCTCTCTGGGCCCTGAACGTTGTCACAATAAATACTGCATGATACTGTGAATAATGCAGAAGTACTGAGTTTTTAAAGCATTTACACTGGGTTTACTGGAGCCTTTTTCTTCATCAACCACTGCCAAGAAGTTAGGACTCCTGCGGAACAGTCAAACCCTCTCTTTCCTTAGTCACTTTGCAGTTTAACTCCTATGGAGAAGATAGTTTCATCTTCAATACACACTACAGTCTCTCTTAGCAGGGCTTTTATCTGTCACTTGTGGAAGAAACATTAGCTCCTAGAATTTAAAAAAAGCCCACCGATTACTTTCACATCCCTTCAGATCATAAAAGCCAGCCCTACATTTTTATACACTAGAAAGGTTTCTGCATAACCTGCAGTGTATTTCTGCCTTTTAAGAAGGACTGTGCTTTTGAAAGTAACCAAAGGAATATGAATTTTGCCTTTATCATGGATTAAAATGGCAAAGGCAAAATTTACATGGATTAAACATGCCCCTGCTTCCTTACATCAACTTACAGAAACTTGGCTTTCACTCCTGTTTTATGCTTAGCTTCTAATCACCATTTTAGAATTGTAGGAAAAAAGTTTTAAGCCAAAACTCTGCTGTACCACTGTGTTTTCCTAAAGTGCAGGTCTGTACAACTCACTCAACCTCACCTTCAGATATCCCATCAATTTTGAGTGCGCTTTTGTGGATTCATTAAATATTAAGTCTAATGGAATCAGCTGCTTTAGTTTACTGGTTTGCAAAGCAGAAGTTTTAGTTTCATTCCTGTGATGTCATTACAGCAGTATGCCTACTTGAGCTTAAAGACAGACACACATGGATACATTACACATCAAACTATTCCTGATCACACAATTTTCACAAGTGTCTACTCTTCTGAAATCACCACAACTGCTAGGCACAAGATGCAGAATTCCTTAATTACTTGTGACATAGGTAGTGTTTACCAGACAACAAAACACAGCCTAAACAATCCACTCGAGAACATCGATAAACCAGCACTGCATGAGTTTTGCAGACTAAGGCGGCACATAAATCAGAAGACAAGGACCATACCTTCTGCCTCAAAGGCAGAACTATTCAATTACATAGTAAAATAAAGAAGGAAAACATAAAAGATTAATAAATCCTGTAATGAAGTAAAAAAATCATGCAAAGAGGTAGTTGATATGGCTTCTCCTTTTTTGGTATCATCTTTGTAACTATAATTAGGAAAAATATTAGTAAGTTAGGGAGGCACTGCTTTTCAGTATCTTGGGAGCAACAGAAAAGTATTTCAGAGAAAGCTGTAGTCCAGGTTACGAGAACAGTCATGTGCCTACAACAGAATTACCAGCCTTAAGGCTGTTGTTACTAAATTTGATTGTCAAATGTATCTATGTATTTTAGCAAATAAATTGTTTTTTCCAAAAATATCATAGATAACATCCTGAAGTTACATAAATCAGATAATCTAGAATAAAACAACCCTCGCAGGTTTGCAGATGTTAAAACATTTTTATCACTGCAATTATTTATGGCCTCTATATGTGATCATAAGTGGTATTTTTTCAGGTTGCCATAACTGGACATTCTCTACTTCACTGATTGATGACAAACTACGCTGAAATATTTTATATGGATTTATTTCATTATTCCAGCTCAGTCCTCAATGGATTTTATGTATTTCTCATAGGCATCTTCATTCATCAGTTCATCAAGTTCAGCCAACCTGTAGTTAGGAAACAAGAAAGAAAAATAGTTGCTAATATCCTACAAGAAAGATTCATTCATGTTATTGCCTTAGAAAAGTACTCCCAGTAGGCATACAAGCCCCATAACACTGGTAGAATCAACAGGACTTCTTGTGCAGGCAAAACAGTATTTCAATACTTTAAAAAGATGAACAAACAACCTGTCATAAGAAATGACCTTTTGAGGCAGACCAGTTGTCTAATTTAGTACTGTCTCTTTGACAGTGGCATTAAGGAGACGCTGTCTAGAAAGAGTAAAAGAGCCTGACCTCTCAGTATCATGAGCTGTTAACGAGATCAAAAAAGACAAATGCGATCAAGGGAAACAGATTTAAATTCAACCACCATCTATGTCTGAAAAGAACACACTGTAATGCAGCTGTCAGCAAAGACAAGACTACAATAATACTTTGATGTTAAATTTTATTGGGCTTGAACTATATTCAATATATTCCATTAAAGCCTCCACACCATTAAACTGGAAGAATTGCAGAGCCATGTGTGACAGCAAGAATCCAGGTGGTGTTCATTATTGAAAGATAAAAATAACATCTTACCATCTTGATAACAAGATTTATTGACGAGCCCCGGATTATCTGCGAGGGCAGCATTAATCTCTGTCACTTCTCCTGAGAGAGGAGAGTAGAGTTCACTAGCAGCTTTCACACTTTCCAAAGCTCCAAACTCATCTGAAACACAGAATATGAATGCTTTTAAGAGGAAAATACAAAGTGCTTTAGTTGTTTTAGTCAGACATTCCGATGACGACCTAGCCATTGAAGAAGCGTCTTGATCTTGAGTAAGGAAAACTGTCAAAGAGATTGAAGTCACCAACTTTATGACAATGATCAGCAGTATTAAATTTGATGTTTATGCTCCTGAATTATTCTGGGGAACTTGCGTAACACTAGCTAGCTGGCTACTACAGAAGGGATGGCAATTTCTTATATTTGGCTAATCCTTTGGCTAAAGCCCTGCAGCATATGATATGATAGCAGGTTATAAAGAACCACATCCAGCTCCTGCTGCAAGAGACCTAACTATGCCTTTTATATGCAACTTAAACCTTTTTATACATAACTTGGTTACAAAATAGACACAGACACAATTTCAGGAATCCCATTTTTAATTCAGAAACACTACCAACAGTTACATTTGCACTCACTGGAAAAGTAAAAAAATTAGTATTCAGAAGCACCACACTGGAAATCACCCAGCCGCGCTTCCCTTTTTTCTATCTTGAGGGCAGTTATGGAAGTGGTGCCTGGAGCAATGGTAGTCCAGAGTAAAGACAGGCAAACAAGAGGATGGAGGAACACCAAGCTGCCAAACGTATAGATAGGCATCAGCACAAGGAATCAGACAACAACATGTTCTGGGAAAGCTTGGAGTTAGACTAAGGCCAAAACGGGTAGAAAAGGGAAGAACTAAATGGAAATGAAATTCCTTCAGATAAAACTACAAGTTGGTTAATTAAAACCCTAAACAGAAAAGACCTTTTGTCTAACGTTCACCATTCAGTGTGATGTAATAGATTTGGCCAAAACAGTTCAATACGGACTTATTCCACAAAAAGGATGGCAAAAGAAAGGCCTGTTACTTTACCTCAGTAAATCTACATTCTTTTTCTGCAACGTCTGAAGCTAATGCCAATCTTTTCTTTATATGCTAGTGAGACAGCTCTCCATGTAAATACAGGAATAGGCTTTTCCTTTCTACATGTTCATGCTCACTCTTCTTTAACATGGAGAATTACATAGCTGAATGATTAAGAATGTTACAATTCATACATCACTAATAAGCAAAACCCTATGATTACAGTTGATACCCAAAAATTACTGAGTCTGTATATTCATAGAAAAATTAGAGCTCGGTATCAACTAGTGTTTCACATAGTACAACTCATGAAATGCCTAACTGCAGAATCACAAATAAACCAGTCCAAACACTAGCAAGTCCAAATCAAAGCATAAACATTTTAAAAACAGAGCATAGATAAAATTATTACAAAGAGATATTTCATACTTAATTTTTAAATAAATGTCTTCACAGTTTAATAAGCAGCTATTTTCTGCTAGCATGCATGGTCTGACAGTCAGAATTTGAAATTAAAGCTGTCACTTGTAGAAATACCTGAATTTATGTTAATACCACTATAAATCTTCTGGATGCAAAAATAAAGAGTACTTCATAAAATTAATCTTTGCAAAGGGAGAGTGGGATGAGTAAAATAATTACTTCAATAGAAGTTAGAGCTGAAACTTACCATGTTTACTCAATTTTGTCCCAATTTCTGGAAGACTACAGTAAACAACATCTCCTAATGCTTCCTTAAAAGAAAAACAAAAGCATCAAAGCATACATTAAAGAAACTATACATAGGAGACATCTGATATAGTAATTCTAGAATCTGCATGTAAGTAATCTCTGCCTCTAAATTTAGTTCTTATTCTTTAAGGACTGCATATTTTTCACTCTTACTTTGTAAATATTTACCTTGGAAAAAAAAAAACACTTTTGTTATAACAGCACAAATGCCAAATTATTATTTATCTATTACAGTGTTAATAACCCTCAGGCTGAGTTACAAGCTATATACAATATGTACAGATTTCTGCAGGCAGGATGAGAAAGAACATCTGCTGATCCTCTTCCCATCAGCCACAGTAACAACTGTTTTAACGGACAAAGTTCCCAATGATTTGAGGGGATTATCTTTTTGTTACAAAAAGAGAGGACTTGCTTCCACAATGCTTCCTCCCCAGACACAGACAACTGAAGAGCTGTTAGCACAGTTTGTCCTCACTGACTTAAAGAGCCTTATCACCGTAAGAATTGGCACAATTAGAATAGGCTTCTGCCTCTGCACTGACAGATGTACCCTATCTCACAAAAGATTAGGGATCTTACCGATTATTAGTCTTATTTACAGAAAACTGAGATTATGGGAAATGCTGCTTGTCCTGAAAACATTAATTCCACTTCACCGATAGCTTCTCACATTTGATTTTCTTAAATTTCACACATAGTGAATCTCTATCCCGAGTTTGCCTGTGACTATTCCAAATCAAGTACTTGCATGAGAACAAAACAAAAAAATCCAAAGGAATTCACAGAATCATCAAGGTTGGAAGGGACCTTCGAGATCATCAAGTCCAACCGTTATCCCAACACCACCATGCCTGCTAAACCGTGTCCCGAAGCACCATATCCACACGTTTTTTGAACACCTCAGTGATGAATTCCTATACTAGAGTAAGAAATATATGCCATGTTGTACTTCACAACTGTTCTTTAGCCAGAGGGATTGCACCGTATTCCTGTTCAAGGGAAGCTTGATGTAAGAAGTGCGCAATACACTCTTCACATAGCCATGAACTCCGCAGGCCTATAAGAACTGAAGCAATGAAGTTTTAAATCGTGCTGAACCATTACGTTTCTCACCAAGATCAGCTCTCGATATGCTCAATCTGAAGTCATTAAGAATTTATCAGAATGCTGAAGCAGCATTCACTTCACAAATAATGTGATAGATCCAAGTCCAAAAATCACGCTCAGTGTATAGCATATGCAATTAGAACAATAAAAAACAGTAACTGTCCAAAGAGCAAGGACAAGAGCAGGTACGCATAAATAAATATTGTGGACTTGGGTAAGGGGGGAGGGATCAATACCTGTGCAAAATTGCTGATTCCTACTGTTCCAATGCCATTTTCAACGGATATCCATTCATGCTTGTCTGTGAATTTGCGGGCTGAAATAAAACAAACTTGGTATTTCAGAAATAAGCGACATGTTGCTCGCTTAAAATACAGTAACACTTTTGCAGGCTTAAACTGTGGGGATTTTTTGTACATTTTTCTTGGAAAATATTTTAAACAGCACATTCAATTTACAGAAGCATTTCGTTCTGTTCATGACACACATAGTGACACCATAGATGTTCTGCTGGGAGTATTACTAGTTCCTGTGCAGTCATGTAGAGACTGACAAAGTCAGGGGCAAAAGGAGTAGTTCTACTTCAAAGAAAAGTACAGATCTAAAGCATGTATGTGTACTGTACTCAGTTATGTATTTCTGTAATAGCATAGCGGCTTTTCAAGCATATTTAGAGTTTGTTTCTGACGACCACTTAACCACTTTATTATTCCTGGGAAGACCAGTATTAATGACTCATTAGAAACAGCAATCTGACAATTCTATTATTAGACAATCTTCTAATTATTAGAAGTAATTCTTTTATAAAGTCATACAGAGAAACATCAAAAGAAGCAACTGAAACAGGCAACATATTTTTCTTGCTAATATTTTACCTGGAACTTTTTTTACTCAGAGTATTTTTAGCCTGCTGTGTTTTCTTACTTCTATAGTTTCCCCATAGATACTTTCTTCCACCTTCTTCCCCCCCCCCCCCCTTTTTTTTTTAATTACTTCAGTTTTAATTTTCACTTGTAGCACCTATCCAATCAGGCAAGGGATGTTCCAGAAGCTGGAGAAGATAATTTCTTAAACAGAGCTCTCTGTGTGTGTTTAGTGCCAGAGCAGTACAGCTGGACTTTCCTTTTCAACATAGAATGGTTTGGATTGGAAGGGACCTTAAAGATCATCTAGTGCCAACCCCCCTGCCATGGGCAGGGACACCTCCGCTAGACTAGGCTGCTCAAAGCCCCATCCAACCTGGCCTTGAACACTTCCAGGTGTGGGGCATCCACAGCTTCTCTGGGCAACCTGTTCCAGTGCCTCACCACCCTCATAGTGAAGCATTTCCTCCTTATATCTAACCTAAAGTTACCCTCTTTCAGTTTAAAGCCATCATCCCTTGTTCTATCACTACATGCCCTTGTAAAAAATCCCTCACCAGCTTTCTTGTAGGCCCCCCCTTAGGTACTGGAAGGCTGCAATAAGGTCTCCCTGGAGCCTTCTCTTCTCGAGGATGAAGAGCCCCAACTTTCTCAGCCTGTCTTCATAGGAGAGGTGCTCCAGCCCTCTGAGTTCAAAATTCTCCTCTCGGGCTCTTCGTCTAGGCTGGACTCCTTACACCCACTAGAGAAACGACACTTCTGAAAATCCTTGCATGTTTTCTAAACTTGTACATGAAGGAAAACAGAAGTTCTTGCTGTAGACCTGCTAAAATCTTTCCACAGTCATATTTTAAGCTGTTTCAATTGTAGTGATCCTCTTATTTATGTCTGAACACGTGCAAGAGAAGTAATCTCAAATAAAATGCTTTGTCTTTGAAGATGGCCTAAGTTTTACAGACCTCAGTGGAGCAATACATGTTTTTGAAAGTACAGTACATACAAAATTTTGAGTAAAAGGCAAATATGAAGTGTTTTTTCATGAATTACCAGTCAGAAAACCCAGAGAATTTCAGCTAGCATTATTTATACCTGCAAAAACAACTCAGGACACATTCTAATGAACAGAAATCAAGTGTCTTAAATCATTTTAGGTAAAGACATTAAACTCACATGAATTTCACTGACAATGAGTAATGAACCATAAGAATAGAGAACGATACAGATTCTTAAACCCAAGCTGAACATCTGTGATGCTATATATGTCACAAAAAAGCCAACCAATATATCTTTATGTAGGATAATAATATTGTATAGGATTTATTTATAAAGCAAGGTTAAAAAAAAAAAACAAGAAAAGCAGAAAACTTCCATGATCAGTTTGGAACACAGTGGTAAAATGTTCTCAACTGTTAGAAGAGCACATAAGCTTCTTGTAGGACAAAAAAAAAAGTGAAAAATGAAAAGTTCTAACCGTGTATCAAAAACCACTGCAAATAAAGTAAAGGTCAAATTAAAAAGAGTTAATAAGTAATCTCAAAATTTGAACTTTGAGCTTACGTAATCAGCCCATTAAATAATTCAAATTAAACGAATATAAAATGTCAAAACATCAAATCTCTTCTGTGAGCATTCTTTAGAAGAGCAGCTAAATTTACTTTAGCTTCATTCATTTCAACATGCCTGGTTTCAGCTTAACTAGCACATTCTGAATTCAGACCTTCATTTAGTCTAACCTGCTTCTATTAAGTATTTCATAAATACATGCCTGAAGAGTGAAGGAAAACTTACACCTCCACAGAGGCATACAAGTTTTCCTCTCTGGCTAAAACAAAATGTATACTATTCCTTCAAGTAAGATCTATAAAAAAAACAATGGGTACCTTAAACAATTAAAATAGCAAACAAAGCTTAGATCTTGACTTAATTTGCAAATGACTAATACATGTTATTCCTTTCACTTGCAGCAGAAGGCAGTTAGATAGGGTTAAGAGACTATCTGGAAGGAAGTTTAAGACCTCTTCTTAGTGGCAGTAATTATTTTTATAGCATATTCTCCTCCTCTTTGCTCCTACCTTTTCAACATTTCTGTTTGCTGGAGTACCACAGAGTCTGTTTTTCAGACTTCTGTGGCTAACTCTCATTCAAAGAGCGCTTCGACAGCAGCGGATACATTCAGCATTAATTACACTTAAGTGCAAAATCACACCAAGCACCGATGTGCAAGTCCACCTCCTCCCCCCTTACCACTTCTGTAGCCACACTGCAGAGGAGCTGGCGAGCCAGAGCCAAACTTCTTTAGCCCCAACAAGCCCAAGGCGCTGAGAATCTGACTCTGGTTTGCTGGCAGCCCAAACCCAGCTGCTGCAGGCCCGCTGCCTCCATCCACCCCTTTTTGCCCCTTTCTTGT